ACGAAATGGTAGACAACGAAACTACATATGACGAAACGAAAGGCAACGACGCGAAATCTGACAAACGAAATTGGAGGTAACGAAAACGAGCGGCCTCCGCATATTCCCCGACGCCGCGAAAGATCGGAATCAAAGCCGATCGATGCGAAGACTATCGAGCATCAATCATGCGCCCGTGTGATTTCACCCAGCATCTCCGTCAACCAGGCCGAGCATTTCGTTTGGGATTGACGTTTTTTTTGTCTACCGCACGAGACAAGGATACCGCCACACAGCCTCGCGCGCTCAGAAAAACAGCAGGGCAAGGAAGAACCCACCGAGACCTGATCTGCGGGAAGGCTTGGTTAGCTGCCTCAGAAGAAATAGCAGGAGCAAGGGAGAGGAAGACAGGGGAGATGGAGACTGGGCATCGCAATCGCCAAGAATGCTTGTCACGCGCGCCCGCTGATGGAACCCCGCGGCAGGCCCGCCTGTTGCATCGAATTCTGCGTCGCCCAGTGTAGCCTTTTCCAGCTGCCCAGTTTACAATTCATCCGGCTTTTATTCACACGAATGTAAAATCGACCAGTCTGAATCCGTCTAGTTTGCGTTTACCCAGTTTCATCCGGTTTGAATTCGCCCGGCGTCCCTTGGCCCGGTTATATTTCGCCAGCGTGTAAGTCGCCCGGTTGTAATGCGCCTGTGTTTCAACTCATCCGGTTTAAATTCGTTCGGTCGTTTGTCGCCTGATTCTCCTGCGCTCGAGAGTAGTTCGCCCATCTTTCATCCGTTCAATCATACTTTACCCTATCTCCAGTTCTGTAGACTCAATCACGCAAAGCGATAGCGGGCGAAACCTGAGGCATTCGAAACACCAGGCGGGCGACACAAAGCAGACGAAACAGACGCGGACGAAACAAAAGGCGGATGAAACAACAGGCGGCGGCGGAGGTCCCCCTCAACGTCGACCGTCGTCGTCGTCGACGTTCGTCGTCGTCGTCGTCGTCGATCGCGAACGTCGCCTCCCCTCCTCATTCTCCTCTTCCCTGCTCCTCCCTGCTCGTCATCCTCCACTTGATCCAGAAGAGCCACTGGAGAGAACTGTGGAGGGCCAAGAAAGGAAACTGCCTGAGACACCCCCATCACAGTCTGGGCGCGAATCCTGCAATGTCCTGACCCTTGGCGGCTCCCCCTTGGAGTGCCCACGTGCCACGCCGGCTGGATCGTGGCGAGCATCGGACCAGCAAAAAAAGGAAGACGGGGATTGGACAGCGAAGTTGCCAAAAACACCTGTCACGCGCGCCGGTTGCTTGAACCCTGCGGCGGATCAGCCCATCGTTGCTGGCAACGATCCAATCACTTCCGAAGCCACCGAAAGCAGCGTCGTCCGATGAAATTTCTTCTTTGTGCCCTAGGTGAACAATTTTCTTCAAACTCTCAAGTATATGATTTCGCCGAGTTGGAAGTCGCCAGCGTCAAATTCAACTGGTTAAAAAATCATCCGGTTTGCATTCGCCTGGTTTGCATTCATCTAACTTTATCAGTAAGGGCTTTGCCCCCTGCCGCCGGCCCCCTCTCTTGGAGAATGCGCTATGCAAGAGCTATGTCATGAGGCCTGGGCGCTGTCGTGAAGCAGTATCGGAACTTCATGCGAGGCCGACTCGTAATTAGCAAAACCAATTGATCATCAGAGGGGTTACCACACCTGGCGGTTGGTAAGACGTCGTGACCCTACGGATCTGCGTGAGCGGTGCCACCGAATTTCAGAAATGTGGCAAATCCTTTGTGTCTTTGGACCCTGACCCTACATCTGCGTGAGGGGTGCCAGCGAATTTCAGAGATGTGGCAAATCCCTTGTGCTTTTGGACCCTGACCCTACGGATCTGCGTGAGGGGTGCCACCGAATTTCAGAAATGTGGCACGTCCCCTATGTTTTTGGACCCTGACCCTACGGATCTGCGTGAAGGGTGCCATCTAATTTCATAAATATGGCGCATCCCATGTGTTTTTGGTGACCCTACGGATCTGCGTGAGGGGTGCCACCGAATTTCAGAGATGTGGCATGTTTATTGTGTTTTTGGACCCTGACCCTACGGATCTGCGTGAGGGGTGCCACCTAATTTCAGAAATGTGGCACATCCTTTGTGCTTTTGGAGACTTACCCCACGGATCTGCGTGAGGTGTGTTAATTTTACCCCCCAAAAAAAATTCTGATAACCTCCCCAGGGCGTGGTAGTTCTGCTGGTTGGGGCTCCCCCCCCCTCGCGCGCAGCAAGAAGCAGAACTGTAACAGTGGAAACTGGGAGCTGCATTCCCGGTCTACCTATACGACCACCCTTCGGGTGATAAGGAGTTTCGGGGGGGGGGAACCAACGTCTCACTCGATCGGTCTCACTATCGATCTCAGTATCGATCTCACTATCGGTCTCGCTCGATCGATCTCACTCGATCGATCTCACAATCGATCTCACTCGATCTATCTCATTCGATCGATCTCACAATTGATCTCACAATCGATCTCACAACAGATCACACAATCGATCTCACATTCGGTCTGGATATCGATCTCACTATCGATATCACAATCGCTCTCACAATCAACGTCATCATCATCATCATCATCATCATCACCATCATCATCATCATCATCATCAACATAATCAACATCAACATCATCACCAACATCGTTATCATCATGAGGGCACCGTCATCATCATCATCATCAACATCATCATCATCATCATCATCAACGTCAGCATTATCATCGGGGCAACATCATCGTCATCACCATCACCATCTCATCATCAACATCATCATCATTAGCATCATCATCATCTGGACACAGTCATCATCATCAGTAGCATCATCATAATCATCATCCTAATCGGACACCATCATGATCACCATCGTTCTCATCATCAACATTATCATCAATATCGTCATCATCCTCGGGACACCATCATCATCATCATCATGATCATCGCATCATCATCATCGACATCATCATCATCATCATCATCAACAACATCATCATCATTGGGGCACCATCACCATCATGAGCAACAGCATCATCAACATCGTTATTATCATTATTATCATCATCGGGGCACCATCAGCATCACCATCATCATCACCATCATCATCATCATCAGCATCATCATCGGGACACCATAATCATCATCAACATCATCATCAACATCATTATCGCCGTGACACCATTTCCATCAACATCATCATCACCAACATCATCGGAATCATCATCATCATCATCATCATCATCATCATCATCATCATCATCATCATCATCATCGGGACACCATCATCGTCATCATCAACATAAACATCATGAGCATCATCATCCTCATCATCGGGACACTATCATCATCATCGACACCATCATCAACATTATCATCATCTTTATCGGGATCATCATCATCATCATCATCATCATCATCATCATCATCATCATCATCATCATCATCATCATCTCATCATCATCCTCGCGGGACACCGCGGGACACCGGCGGGACACCGCGGGACACCGCGGGACACCGCGGGACACCGGCGGGACACCGCGGGGCCCCGGCCGCCCGGAAGGGAGTCATTTGGTCCGGCCGCGCCTCAGCCACACGGGACACCAGCGGGACACCGGCGGGACACCGCGGGTCCCCGGCCGCCCGGAAGGGAGACATTTGGTCCGGCCGCGCCTCAGCCAGTGGAGACTTTCTCTCGCCCGCCCACGCAGCTTCGCCTCGCCCGCACGGCACGCACGAACACGAAACCGAAATCGATTTCCCAGTAGGGGGGCTCTCCGTTCCACTTCGATCTCACCCCCCAACCTCCGACAGCCTGGTGGCCCCACAAGGGGGCCGGCGGATTCCGTCCGCTTGAAATTCATCCAGTTGCGATCTTCCCTGTATAGACGAACACGGGTTGACTTCGCTCTGTTTGAATTCATCCGTTTTTGAATTGTTTGGTTCTCAATTGATATATTTCTTAGTCGCCCTTCTTGAATTCATCCGATGCCAATTCTCCTTGTTCGAATTCATCATTCATCCGTTTTCATTTCATTTGGTTGAATATGGTTATGACGTGCCGTGTTTGCATTCATTTTGTCTAAACCGCCCGGTTTAATGCCATCCGCTTTTAATTCACCCAGTTTTGATTCGTCTTGCTGTAATTTGTTCAGCTCTACTTCGCCTTGAAAGCATTTATAGAGCCACGAACAAGTCGGAGCGAAAATTTAAGAATCCAGAGTTGACGAAACAAAAGCAAATGAGACACAGGGCGGGCGGAACAAACATGCACGATACATCATCGGGCGAGACAAGAATGGACAAAACAAAAGCGGGCGATGCCAAAGGCGGATGAAACCAAAGTTGGCGAAAGAAAAGCGGACGAAACAAAAGCGGGCGAAACAGAAACCGACGAAACAAAAGCGGGCGAAACCAAATTCTGCCGGCAATCGGGGTCTCGATGCCGCTTTTCCCCAGGCCTCTCTTCGGGTGCGTTCTGACCCGCATGTCGAAAAACAAAACGTGGCGATGAGGGCTTCCCAGGAGGCCCAAAAGGACGAAAACGATGGAATGTCTTTCGCCTGCGAATGCCTTTCGCCTGCGAATGGGCCTGGAAGTCAAGGTTGCATATCTTGGATAATCCTTGTTCGGGGCTGTATTCGATCCAAAACATGATTATTCCTAGGGTTTTCCCTGGGCCCTGGGCTGTTCGTTGCGAAACTCTGCGCCAGGTCCAGCAGTCATATCTTATATCAGAAGACCTGTATTATTTAGTTTGCCCTTGGCTGGCTCTCACCCCCAGAAGTCTGACCCCTTGTAAGAAGGTGAATTAGAAGGGTAGCGGTACCAGTACCTTCCCCTTTTTTCGGGAGCTTTGCGACGGGGGTCAATGCAAACGGGGGTCAGCCAGAGCGCTGGGCTTTGCAGGATCCTGCAGAGGATCTTGCACAGCCTGACTGGCCCGGGTTTGTATTGGCCCGGGTCTGTGTCCCCGACCCTGTTGAGGAGCAGGGGGAGCAGCCCCTCCACTCGGTCAAGCTCTGCTTCCTCGGGCACGCGCGCGCGGGCAAGACCTCCACGCTGCTGTCGCTGGCTGGCGGCAGCTTCGACCCGCAGCAGCCAAGTACACACGGCGTGGACACGCGGACCTGCACGCTGGCCACGCAGCTGCTGCAGGCCGCCTCGGAGGCGGAGGGCGCCGCCCGCGAGCCGTGGGGCGAGCTGGAGGGGCTTGACAACATGTTCCTAGCTCCGGGCCCGCGCCCCCCCCCCCAACAAGGTGGGATGGGTCCCCGGGCGAATCAGCGACCCCAACGCAGTGCCGCGGCACATCACCAGCTGGGGCGGCACGCGCATGAAAACAAGATGGGATGGGTACCAAGGCCCTGCGGGCCCCCCCTTAGATGGGACGGGGGGTGGAACGACGACGACGACGACAATGACCACGACGACGACGACCACGACGACGGCGACCACCACGACGACGACGACGACGACGGCGACCACCACGACGACGACGACGACGACGACGACGACGACGACGACCTGCCGCTCCCTGAATCACTGCAACACCACGCGCGCCACCACAGGGAGCCGACGACGACGACGACGGCGGCGAAGAAGGTTCCACAGCAGCACCACCCCACACCCGCAGGGGCGGGTGGGGACCCATCGAGGGGCGGGGCCGATCCCATGAGCATTGGGGGGGTCGGGGGGGGCCGGGCCCCGGAATACACGTCGTTTGGTTCGCCAGTGAGCCGAGCAGATCGGCGAAGGAGTTCGGGGTATTTCCAGACATGCGATGTCATGCGTTTTGGTTAGCACAGGACCGACCAGACGACGCGGCGTGTTCGGCCACGCGCGGAGGGGGGTAGGGCGAGGGGGTAGGGCCTGCGCCTTCTAAGCAGCCTCCTCCTAAGTGGCCTACACCCCTCCCCTCTGCCTCCATGTGCGCGCCGCCGACACATCGAGCCCCTCCCAGGCGAGCTGGAGGGCGCGCGCAGCGTGGGGGACCTCCTCGAGGAGCGGGCGGCGAGGTCACCGGCTGGCATCGCAGACATAGCGTGCGATGGGTCGCCGCCGGTCCGCCTCAGTACACGCGACCTCTCACCTTGGGGATAGCGTGCACCGACGACCCGAGCAAGAAACGGTACCTGCACCGCTCCCCAGTCCTTGGTGTTCCTCTTTTTGGGTCTCTTGGGAGGCCCTCGTCGCCACCGCTGGATTCGCTTCGGAATTCTTGTCAGAACGAACCCCGGGAGAGGTCTGGGGAGTAGCGATAGGCGTGCGCAGAAGGGGCCCTCGCACAGGGATCGCTTCACAGGGATCGCGTGCTGTTTCGAAGATCGATGTTGGACGCTATCTTTGCAGCGCCAACAGTAGCGTGTCAGCTGCCCTGGGCCAGGCCCACCCTGAGATCCTGCCGATCGGTCGCGACCGATTCTGAAGCAGCCTGGTAGCGACCGATATCTGAACTTGAAGCAGCATCGGCAGCGAACCGTCTCGACGGTCGCACCAGCAACATCGAGCGTCCAAGGATCAGGGTGCCCCTGGCCATGCGCACCCCATCCCCTCAGATCCTGGCGTAGCAATGTTGCCACAACGGGCGATTCTGCCCCCCGAATTCGGGCCCCAGGCCCTCGCCTGATGGATCCGGCGCGCAAAATCTCGCCAGGCCACGGAGGCACATGCACCGCTGCTGGGCCAGGGGGGCGCGTACCTGGTACCCCCCCTCCTCGGCCCAGGATGGGCCTGCCGAGATCCGACGTCACGAAGAGAGTGCACCATCGTAGAGATCACGACCAGAGTCCTGGACCGCATCTCTCTGCTCCATCTCCCGTACCAGACCCATCCGCGAAGTCCCGGGGCCTGAACCGAAGGGCGAAATCGCCGGGTGTGGCAAATTTGCGACGCCAGGATTTGAAGAGATGGGCTTGGCCAGGGGCACCCTGTTCATTGGATGCCCGATGCTTCTGGCCGCGAGCGGCGAGGTCGGCCGCTGCCAATTTTGTTTCAAATGTTGGTATCCGAGGCTACCGGGCTGCTTCAGAATCGGTCGCGACGGATCGGTTGCGAGAGATCGGTCGCGACTGGTCGCGATTGACTTGCAAATCGGCCGCGATCGGTCGCAACCGATGTTGAGTGCCGATCGGATGTTACCGATCGCGACCGAACATGTCGGACGTCCATAAATACTTTGGGCAGTGGATGCGCGCAGATCTTTGTCGTCCCACACAGGAGCGCGTGGCGCTGACAGTGGCGCGGAAGCTCTCCGGCACTCCGCGACGCGCGCGGGAGGTGCCCAGCAGCGGCGAGGAGGCCGCGGCAGCGGGCGCCCCCGCGGTTCCATTGCCCAGAGAAGAGGAGAGCATCCAGGGCGGCTCGCGGCGGCGGGAGGTACTCAAGATGCCCGTGGACCTCATCGCGGCCGAGCTCTGGGCGGCGGAGGACCAGAAGAGGAAATTATGTATCGGAGGAGAAGCGTTTTCGGACGCTTTCGGCGCCCGGCGTGGTTTCCATCAGCTGTGCCTCGTCGAGAGCGCCCCTGGGATGCCTGGATCGTGTGGAAAGGCCGCCGGCGAGCCGACGTCAGATGAGCAGAAGATACCGATGCCGTGGCTCGTCCTTCAGAGTCCTCGTTGCCACGGCTGGATTCTCCCCAGAATGCTGGTCAGAGCGCACCCCTGAGTAGCGGCACCCGTGCTTGTTTCTGCCCACCCAGAGGAGGGCCAGCCGATGGGCGGCGCGGACGAGGGCCAGCCGACAGTGATGCAGACGTGGGACTTCGCCGGCCAGGAATAGGGGCAACGTTAGGGGTGGATGCTCAGGAGGGGTGCATCGAACCCCAATCACCCATTCATCGCTGGTAGGGGCCCGTTACGTAGCCCAGCCCGCCCAGGAGGGTGCGGTTTCGCAATTGCGAGCTTGCCGCCGATCTGTCGGCGGTGTAGACTCCAGTTCGACGTTTCCCCCCCCCCCCCCCCCAGACAGTCCTCCCGCCAACGGTCAAAATGCTGAAACAAAGACCTCTTCGGCCTCAGGAGTGGCTGTGGTTTTCGGGCCGTCCCTAAGGCTCAGGCCAGGGAGCCCCTTCGTGGCCGAAACTCGTCGTGGCCAGAACCCCTTCGTTCCTCATTCAGGGTTCCTAGTGGAAAGCGATGGCTGCCATCCCGTGGTGGCCGTCGCGGGGATGGGGGCCACAGACCCTGGAGTTCACGACGCGCAGGAGTCTGATTTGGCGGAAGGACGTCGGAACGCATTGACGGGAAGGGTTCCTTGGGGCGGGGCGCCAGGCTAGCGGCGTGGTGCGCAGTGTCTTGGGGCTCGGGATTCGCAGCACGCTGGCTGTATCGTTTCCCCTCGCAGGAGATGTATTACAACATGGCCCACATCTTCCTGACGGAGCTGGGCCTCTATCTTCTCGTGCTCGACCTCTCGGCCTGGCTGCCATCATCCGCTGCAGGCCCAGGGCGGCTGCGATGCGTCAAGCCCTGATCCCTGGATGCCAGATGCTTCTGGCCGCGACCGACGAGGTCGGTCGCTACCGACTTTGCTCCAACGTCCGGTATCGGTTGCGATCGACTTGCCTTAGAATCGATCGCGACTGATCGCGACCGATGTTGGAATCGGTCTCGATCGGTCGCGACCGATTTGGAGCGGCGATCGGTCGCCACCGAACGCGACCGAAAAGATTTGGGGTCCGAAGATCCGGGCGACGCGGCCCCTGGAGCTCTGCACACACACACACACAGACACGCACCGGGAACGGTTTTCCGTCCCCGATGGGGTTTGTCACGGCCTCCCCAGACCCCTGCGCTCCGTGGAACATGCAGGGCGGAATGTGCTCTCCGATCCAGGGGCACTTCCTGGGCCCCGGGACAGTGAACAAACGACTCAGGATAGAAATGAGGCCCAGGGGGAGTGGCCGAGAAATGGGCGTCGCGTAATGGGGCGGCGATAAATGAGGAGGCAGCGAGGGCTGCAGAAATGAAACCCTTCTAGCGACGCCCGGAAGAAGACTCGACGTCGGAGGTCTGCGCTGGAGCCCGACATTGGCGAAACACTTCTGCCTGTCCTCACCTGCGACGCTGGGTTCGGTTCTTGTGTTGGGCACATGGGTCGCATGCGATTTTTATCGCCCAATCCCCAAGTTCAGCCAGAAAAGTTCAGCTGCTCAGATAAGGGGGGGAACTCTGGGAGACTCCCCTGGGGGGCTGTCCGGACGCACCCCTATTGAGGATGGAGGCACCCCATCGTATGTGCCCAAAGTTCTTGGTCCAGTCAAAAGCCCCCCAAAGTCGGGGAATGAGGTCGCCATATCTCCCGTTAATGGGGATCTCGATTGGTTCCCCGGGGCGAGCTTGTCACCCCGTCCTTCGATGTGGATCTCGACCTCCCCCCTCAGGAGGGAAAAATATACACAGACACCAACAAACGTCTCCCAGGAAAGTATTGAAATATATGGGAGGTGGTGGGGAAGACGAGAATCCAGAAGATACGTAAAAGATGGGGAATCCTGGGGTATGTGTCTATTTATGTGTGTGCCCCTGGGCCAGGTTTCTATCTATGGGATTTCTGTCGTTACTTTCGACCCCCTTCCCCAGAGCCAGCTTTTCAGCCTCTTCGCGCCGGGAGGCAGCCCCCAGAGTGCCGAAAAGAGCATTGAAGAGCCTCAGCTGCCCCGCCCCGATCGGAGGAGGAGGAGGAAGGAAAGGTAGGCCCGGATCTCAGGAGGGAGGGAAAGAGAAGCAGGTCAGAGTAGGAAAAGGTACTTGCTCCCCCTCCCTCGTTTTCCCCTTTTCGGGCCTCCTAGGCGGCCCTCGTAGCCACCGCTGGATTCGCCTCGAACTTCTCGCCAGAACACACCATGGGAGAGGTCTGGGTAGTAGCGGTATCGGTACCTTCTGATCTCCCCAGAAGTAGGAGGACCAAGACGGACGCACGGAGGGGATAGTCTAAGCTTCCCAGATGAGGCCCGAGTGTGGGGTCGGAGGATCGCGCGCATCGCCGATGCATCGCCGATGCGTCTCGGTGTCGAGCCCGACTTTCTCCACGCCGACGTTCTCCGATGCCTCGCCGGCGTCGGCGATGTATCACCGTTGCATCGCCGATGCATCGCCGATGCATCGCCGATGTTTTGACGATGCATCGCCGATACATCGTCGATGCGGCGAGATCCTCCGACCCAATTTACCCGCTCCCAGTTAAGGAGGCCTATAAAGAAGGAGGAGGGGAAGTACGATATTTGCTTCATACAGGATAATCTCGGCCCCGCCGCGAGGCGCTTTTCTCAAGAGATTGGCGCGTCTGGCGGCAGGAAAACTGTGAGCTGATTCACCCCCACCCGCCCTTCCAAAACCCCGGACGTCATGAGTTGTTCTGCAACGCGGACCCACGGAGGTCTGGACCCATCCCCAGGACGGGCTTTCCATCCTGAGTTGTTTTTCAGTCCCCGTGCCCGGCGAGGGCCCCCAGAGGCTAAGCATATTCAAAAAAATCGTCAGTTGCGATCACGGCGCCAGATGGTCTGGGTTCATTTCCCCCCCTCCCTTGTTGGGCCTGAGAGAAGGCAGATGTGGGTGGGGTGGGGGGCTGCGAGCACGGAGGATGCGGAGCGCCGCTTTTTCCTCGCGGCGCCGGAGGTCCCCAGACCTCCGCGCGCTGCCAGCGCGCACGAGGCCAGATCTCCGACGACACGACGTGTGCAATCCAGGGGCCATCTCTTTCTTGCGGGCCCGTTCTTGGGCCTTGGGGCCATCAAGCATAGACCAAGGACGACAAGCACGGCTGCCTGGATCACTGCCTAACGGGATCTGGGAGGATGTGAGTGGATGCCTAGCCAGGCTTGTACATGGGTAGCTGGTGCCCTGAATGGCTTTACATTTGAAGGAGTCAGGTGACCCTGCCAAGCGGGTGCCGCTCACTTAGCCCAGATCTTTGCCCCTCCCCCGTAGGCCGCTTAGGACACTTGCAACCCACGAGTAAGTTAAGTTACTTTCGCTGTAACCCAGCTCCCCGTCTAGTGACCCCAGCGGTGATCCAAGTCGGCAAGCGGTCGGGACTTCTGGCGCTGCGCACTGAAATATCAGAATACCGTATCGTCGGACGTCTTTGTTTGGGCTGCTCGCACACAGAATGTGGCGCGATGGCGCTGGCCTTCAAAGCGTCCTGGGGGCTGAGAACCCTGACCTACCAGGTTTGCCACAAATAACACCATGCCTCTTAAGCCTAGATTTTCAAGCAAGGTTTCCAGCAGTCCTGATAGGTCTGTCTCTAGCATTCTGGAGGTTCGGGGAGGCCAGGGGGAGGGGCTTCTCAGGGAGGGCAGGGGCCTCCCTTCTGATCGACATCCGCCCCTCCTTTCTGCTCCTCCTCCTCTTCTTCTTCTTCCTGCTCCTACTCCTCCTCATCCTCCTCCTTGCATCCCTCCTGCTCCTCCCTCCTCCTCGTCTTCATTTTCGGGGGGAAGCTCGCCCGCCTTTGTAGAAGGCCGCCCCTCCCCCCCCACCCCTCGCGCGACCCCCTTCCCCCCCAAGGAACGGAGGTCTGGACCCCGCTGGGGCCGCGCGGGACACAACCAACACATCGTCGGACGCCTGGGCAGAAGGGCGCCCCCCCTAAGGGCCATCCCCTTGCGCAAGCCGCCAAAAAAAACATCACGACCGAAGGCTATGGGCTTGTTTCGGCCTCCACGGGGGAGGGCCCTGGGGCCGTCAAACGAGGACAGTTCGGGATGAAAATTGGTCCCAAGGAGTGGGTCGAGGTCTTAGGGACCCTGCACCCCAGACCCCCGACGTCGTGATTTTGTTCACAAGAGGCTGTTTGTCAAGTAGACTCGGGCAAGTCCACTTCGATGGCGTTTCCCCTCCCCCCCCTCCGTCACCTTTTAGCGTACAAGTGAGTGCTAGTGTGTCCCGACTTCCTCGCCCCGCCCCCGCCCCTCCCCCTCCATGCAAGTAAGCTTGACAGATCCTACCGGAAAACAAAGACAAACAGCCTCCAACGTCGACCCCCCTGGGGTCTCGACCCACTGCCCATCGATCGGCTCTTCATTCCGATTCGTTTCCTGACGGCCATGGGGCTCGGCGAGGACCCCCAATGGCCGATCATGGCCAAAGACCTCCCATCATGATTTTGACAGGATGCAAATTTGTCCAGGGGAGTTGGACGAGGCCTCTGGTGACCTCGCGCTGAAGAAGTCAGAACAGCTCAAGATCATTGGATACCAGATTTGTTCGGTCGCGATCGGTACCGACCGATCGGCACTCCAGACCTGTCGCGACCGATCGCGACAGATTCCCAAATCAGTCGCGACCGATCGCGACCGATCTGCCGCCACCGATTCTGAAACAAATCGGTCACGACCAATGTGTAGCAGAATTGTGAGCTAAATCGGTAGCCCGCTTGCGCGAACTACTGCGCGAGAATTTGTGCGCGAACTGTTGCTGGGGGCGCGAGCAAAAAAAACATTGTTGCATCCACGCGCAATTACTGCGTCCAGACAGCAAGCTGCTACGTCCATGCAAAATTATTGAATCGCTTCGCTCATTCCGCCGGCCCGTATTGTGCCATCGCAGGCGTTTGCTTGCGCGTTCGTGGCCTCTTGGAGCCTCGGTGGGGCCGCTTTGGGGCCTCTTGGCGCCTCTTTTTAGGCCTCTTGGAGAACTCGGGAGGCCTCCAGGGGGCCTCCTGAGCTCTCGTGACGGTCTCTTGGGGGGCTTTCGGCGGGCTCTTGGCGGTATTTGTTGGTCCTCTTAGCGCCTGGGGCCTGACGTTGTTGGTCCTCTTGGGGCCTCACGGGAGCTTATTGGGGCGTCTTGGGGGTGTCTTGGAGAGTCTCTTGGGGCCTCTTTCGGGGTCCTGGGCGCCTTCTGGGGCGGAGGGCTCGATTTTTCAGTTCTCGGTTCCCTTCTTGAGCCCCTCTTGGGCCCGTCTTGGGGCCTCTTGGTCCGCCTTGGGCAGCACTTGGGCCGTCTGGGGGGCGCTCTTGGGCCGCTCCGGGGCCGTCTTGGGAGCCTCGTGGGCCGTCTTGGAGCAGTCTTGAAGGCCTCTTGGGCCCTCTTGGAGCGTCCGGAAGCGAAAAGGCCAGAACGCAAAAAAACATTGAAAAAACAATGAAAATCAACGATTTTGGCAACTTGGGGCCCTCTTCGGAGGCCTCTTGGAAGGCCCTTGGAGCGTCTTGGAGGCCTCTTGGGCTGTCTTGGGGCCATCTGGGGCGTCTTCGGGCGATCTTTGGCTGTCTCGGGCCTCTCTTGGACCGTGTAGAAAGCTTCTCGGGGCCCTCTTGGACCGATCTGGAGCCCTCTTGGACTCCGAAACAGAACTCCGGCATCTCTGACCCGACTTTGCCGGGGACTTGCCGGGACCTTGCCGGGGTACTTTTCGTCCGGGGACCCCCAGTGTCCGCCCCGCGCGCGCGAACTAGAAATACTGTTAACCAGGTACCGGAGATCTTAGCAC